TTTTCGTCGAATCATTATTACGTTAATAATGATGACGCCGCGAATGAATATTATTTGACAGCCCGGCGCCCCCCGCGCTCGTACGCGGGATTTATTTTCATCGCGTATTTCGCGTATTTTATTTCTACGGGTCGCGCATCTCCCGCGAGACTTCAGGACCTCTCTTGTTTCCTCCCCCATCGCCGTCTCGAATGGTGATCCTTTTTTCGCAAAAACGAGAATTTTTTTTTCTGATTAATCGAGAGCCGATCGACCGCACTGTGCATTCTCGAAAGCCCGTATTGTTTATTCTACGATTGGTAAATGCGATTGAAATCTTTCTCTCCTGTCGACCTTTGTTCCTCGCCTCTTTCAACTCAGACTGTCCAGCCACAGGCTGCAACCGTCCATTTAAAATATCACATCCTTTCAGCGAATTGCTGGAATCTTCTTGAGTGCTCCGTAATTTCGTCAATTCGAACGCACGGAATAATAGCGACAACCGGAGAGAAAACTCCGCGGCTCGGAGTATACGACTCGATATCTCTTGTGTATATATTGTGTATATGTTTATATATGTGTACATGTTAGGCAAAAAAATAATGGAATTATCGTCGTATCGCTTCGTTTGACGCTCAAGTTCCCCGACAATTGAGTAATTTTAGCAAGTCAAGTATTTAGTATTTAAACGTAGATAATGCAACGTCTATGCATAATCGGGGAGATAGCTCGACGCGCAACGTTACACAGGAGTACATAAGAATGATCATAAATTCAGCCGGCATTATATAAACGTTATATAAGAGTAATCATAAATTGTCCGGGTGCAACGACGATATCGCGCCATATAAATTAAAGTAAAACGAAGTAACACGCCCGCGCTCTGGCCGTCGATATTTCAACAAGAAGTCAAACGCACACCAGCGATAGGACTGCTTTAATCATTCAATCATTTTTGCGCATTACGGCCGTATTTAAAATTGCGCGTATCGACGCGTTCTCGATATGCGCGCTGGAAATGAAATAGAAAAGCGAAAGACGGGGGGCAGGATGGGGGGAGGAGGAAGAGGGAAAAAGAAAAAAGCACGAGCGAAAAGGGAGGAAAACGCACTGTCGTCGTTGCGGCGTATACTGCGAGCGTAGCGATTTTCGAATAATAAACGTGACCGTGAATAATGTGTTGCTATTTGCCGAGAAACGATCGTTTTGTCAGCGAACACGGTGGAAGGATCGACGCGTTTTGTCGCGGCACACACGGGGCTTCTCGCTGTCGCGAAAATCTCGTCGCTCAAGCCTTAATAACCGGGACACGTGTGGGGACACCTCCCCCCCCCCTCCTCCCGCCGCCCTCGACGAAAACGCGCCGCACGCTCATTTATTTCCGCGTCTTTTGCCGCGATAGTTTTCCCTCTTTTTGTCAGTCCGACCGCTTTTTCTTCTCTTGCTCTTTCGGCGCGAGAAAGACCGCGAGCGTGAAAAAGAGAGGGGTGGTCGTCGGGCGGCGAGCCGGGCGGGCTGGGCCGAGCCGAGCTCGCTAAAAAACGCCAGCGCGGGCCACGATGACTTTCGGAATCATTTTTCAAAATGTCTGCCTCTGCCTCGAGGGGGGTGACCCCGACGGGCGGCGGTGGAGAGAGGCAGGAGGGTGGCAGAGGGGTGGTCAACCCCCGTGGCGTAGGGTGGCAAGATGGCGCCGCACGGTAAATCGATGGAGGCTAGTCACTGCAGGCGCCCTCGCTTTCACAGCTCCAAACCCCCCTTCACCCCCAGACCACCACCACCCACTTTGCTATCTCCCTCGTCCACCCCCTCATTTTCGAGCTTCACGCAAGCGCCCGCATCGTGAACGGCCGAGTCTTTGGTCATCTAAGCATAATTTTGCACCGGTCCAGCACAGTAACCCACACTCTGTCAAAAAATGCAAAAAGTTTTTTTTCCTTTCTTTCTCGCGGATAAAAAAAGTCAATTTTCCGGAGAAGCCTGATACAAAAGTGTACGGCCGACAAACTTTCTCCTTTTTTTCTTTAGTTTTCACAAAAGTGCGCTAAAAGAAGATACGACGCCTGCTTGCGAGCTCAAACTTTTCGTCAAATCGTGCGGGGAGGGAGGGATCGTATCGGTCCGCAAATAACGCAATAGGCGAAAGTAAACGAGAAGCGCACTGGTAAACGCGAGCCGATCGCATCCCGCGATATGATTTTTCCGATAAACCCATCTCATTTTAATATTCAACACCTGTAAATGCGTCGGAACAAAGGCGATAGCCGGCTACACATCGGAGAGTATTTGTATTGGATGCATCCCGTGAAGCGACAGAATGATTTTTCTCTCTCCCTCTCCCCCCCCCTCTCTCTCTCTCTCTCTCTCCCTCATCCGGCGTATAATAAAAATTTCAAACGGGTCGTTAAAACTTGTTTCTATGCCGCGCACGAACCTGTTTGATTCTGTCTGAGAAACGCAACCGCCGGGGGGCGAGAACCCGCCGCGGCTTTCAAAAAGAATACACGCCATACAACAGGTCTTCGTCTCTTAATCCTACCGCTCTCGCTTAACTGTCTGTCGCGTCAATGTACGAGTGAAAATGCTCATGGACACACGTTAACGCTGCCCGTCTTCTCTTCCTCCTCCTTCTCCTCCTCTACCGTCTCTCTCCTCGTTTCCCCGGCTAATGCCCACAAAATTCTCATAAGCGCGCTCTAATTTCATTATACTAATTGGAGTATTTTAAAATTTACGTAAACGCGCGACGGACCGCACGCGAGCCGCCGTAGGACTCAATTACGAATAAAACCCGCGAGTCCCCGCGCGAATTAAATGTCTCGGTGGGAAAACGCGCGCGCGCGCGCGCGCCCGCGCATTTAGGAGAGGACGTTTTCTCCATCTCGCGCGTCTCCTGGCGTAAGTCGTATATCTCGCGCATCGGCCGGCGCGCGCGTTTCACTCCGACGCGATCGGAATCGCACGTAAAACGAAATACCGCTCCGGTCAATCAAATCATCCCGATATCGCCCGCTATCGTAATTCCTCGTCAGGTGTTTGACATTGATGCTTCATCGACAATGCCCGTCTGAGATTTATACACGTCGCGAAATGCGTTTCGAAACACCGGAGATAAGCATCGGTATACTCGTGCCAATAACGGCCATGTCGTCTTTGATGTCGCTGATATTGTGATATCATAAATTATCGATAAGAAAAACCGACTTACTGCCGATGACCTTCGCGCATCGGCGATGTCGTTGACGAGACGTCGGTCGTTTCGTTGTACGACACGCCAATTTCGTAAGATCGATCTAGGCAAACGCGAGGGGTTCCTGCGTTCCCGCAGAAATATTTTGCGTTTCTTTCTTCGTGACCATATCGACCGTATCTTGATTAATACGACTAGACGCACGGAATTATCATAGGCGTATCGTATTTACTTTGTGCTCGTTTAATATTCTTATCTCGGTTCTTTATATTATTTTATGATTTTAAAGAGACGTTATCTTCTAATATATTTTCAGAAGATTGCATTCTATCGGACATGATATCACATTGTCGCGTTCGGACATTTAATGCGCGAGTCGTCGCTGACGTGTCGTAGTCATCTTTGTTTAATTCTTATCTTTTCGTTGTGCATTTATTTTTGGCGCCTTAAAGTGCATTATCTCGCAGTGAAGGAGATTCCTTCAATATCGTACCGTCGCTTTCGACCAAGCATTCGTTATCGCGGCTGAACAGCTGTCCAATACTGAACTGTATTATTGTGAGGCAGCTGAAAAATTAAAGTGACTGTTTTTCATCGATAATTGTGTATTCTACTTGTCGATATGTTTTATAAGAATGATTGATATTGCCGATAACAACAAAAATAATTGACCGTCTAAAACGAGATTACAGTTGAAAGCGCGGACCGCGTGCAAAAATTCTATTTGCTGTGCCCGATGGTTTAATTATATTATTAACACAATATTAGCACGATTATTAATGCAATAAAATATAATAATGGCCTCAAAAATATTAATCTCTTTCAAGAGATATAATGACACGCGCGCTGAATGAACTTATTGATCATTTTAAACAAATTTATTATTTAAATTACGCGATTTATCGGGTTATCGCGCTGCGATAATGTACGTCCCGTTGTAGTTTTAGTGTTTTGCGTGTCACAGTGAAAGGATATTCTTCGTTGCGACAGCACTTTGTAACTCCAACGCATTAGAGACTTTGGTGTTAGAAAAGAGCCCTTTTCTCACTGCACGCATGATTTTTGTCAGATTAAATTTTCAAGCGTCTCATCAAGTTCTTTATCAAATCTAACATATTTTTATCGATTGAACGTATCGGTTATTAATCCACTGGAATTAACGTTGATCACTGACGCAAAAATTAGATGCGGAAAGCTGCAGGTTTTTCGATATGATAACAAAAGCAGTTAATAGAAAGTACAGCCAATATCTTATCTCGATTGATGTTACTGTCGGATTAAACAATTTTTTTTTAGTTAATATCCTTGAATTGAACCTGGATAAAAAATTCACACATGTGTGCTCGACAATGTTTGGACCGACGCATTTATTACCGACCGTAAAAAGTTTTCTGTGTGTCATTTCTAATGCATGTGAAAAGAACATCTGACGTAATTTAATTATACACATTGTAATTTCAAATATTACCCTTCTTACAGCGTTAGGTGTGCTCTCGTGAAAACTTAAGCAAATAATTTTTACGATTACGGCAAATACAACAGTAATATAGATTATTTGCACGCGAGAGTCAATAAAAGCGTAAACGTTGTATGTTCAACGTAAATGCATGTCGTCAGTCAAAGTCAATGTCGGCGAAATACTACCGGTGAAAGAACACGCGTAGGCAAACATTGCCAGCAAAACGAGCATATTGCTAATTTCAGTGTAACTCGCGAGACATTTGAGCGGGAGGGTAGATTTATCTTATCTCAAAAATGAATTATCAAAGCGGCGGAGTAATCGCTTTATAAGCGCCGGCCTGTCCAATGTAGCATCAGAACTGTTATGAACATGGAGGCTCGTGTTTTGATTAGCTTCTTGCTCTGCTTCAGCATCTGCTGCGTGGCCGGTAAACATTTCATTCACTTGATCATTCGAGAGAACGGAAAAGACAGATGATTGACGGTTCTACGCGACAATTTTGATACATATTTAAATGCGCGATTGTGTGTCATCCAAATTCTATTTAATACGCTCTATCCGTATATATATATTTTTTCTAACTTTACATGACGAGAAAGTAGCGCTGAAATTTTTGTATTCTGATTCACAGGACGCCCGGCGAAGAAGAATACGCTTGCTAACGCTCTCTTTAGTGCGTTCGATTATGATTTGATTGAAAAGTTGCAACCACATGTATACGACAATGACAACAATTTAGTCAAATTGACGCTCGAGGACCACGGCGAGATTGAAGGGTTAACAGACGATGACATGGACAAAAATGTCTTCTTCTATCTGTACACATGGAAAAATCCCACCCATCCTCAAATGCTCTACGTCAACGACGAGGAGATTCTGAAGAACAGCTTCTTCGATCCGAAGAAACCGACGCGTTTTGTCACTCACGGATGGATGAATTCTTACGAGAGCGATGCATGCACTTTGGTGCGCGATGGTACGTAAAACGGGTATTTTTTCTCTCCGTAATAATCGCTAGGTTTACAAATCTCAAGGTATAAGGGGCTACGTTGTTATAAGGAGCTAGCTCTCTCTCTCTCTTTTTCTCTCTGTCTGTCTGTCTGTCTCTCTGTCTCTCTGTCTCTCTCTCTCTCTCTGTCTCTCTCTCTCTCTCTCTCTCTCTCTCTCTCTCTCTCTCTCTCTCTCGATACGAAAGAGATGTAATACCGGGTCAATTATTACGACGTTGTCGAGAAATGACCTTTCACTTCACAATGAACCGTCGCGAATGTGCTCGTCGCTTCCTGTGCCCACAGCTTACTTGAAACACGACGACTACAACGTCATCGTGATCGACTGGAGCAACATCAGCATGAAGCTGTACATCTGGGCTAGCAGTCATGTGGAAGCGGTCGGGAAATTTGTCGCTTCTATGATCAGATTTCTTGAGAAACATGGAATGGATACGTCCCAGGCTACAATGGTCGGACACTCGCTTGGCGCCCACGTAGTCGGAATAGCCGCGCACAATTCCAACGGCCGAGTCAATTACGTCGTCGGTGAGTTTCTGACGTTCACGATGTGAGATCGTTGGCCGGCTGAGCAGCCGTTAATCCGCTGCGAATTCGTATTTTTCAGGACTGGACCCAGCCCTGCCCGGTTTCCTCTTGGCTGGCCCCGGGTCCAGGATATCGAAGAACGACGCGAGTCATGTCGAGATCATCCACACTAACGGTGGTCTTCTCGGTTTCATGTCTGACATCGGCCATTCCGACTTCTATCCTAACGGGGGAAGCAGCCAGAAAGGCTGTGGCTTGGACGTCGGCGGCGCGTGTTCTCATTCACGCTCGTACATGTTCTTTGCCGAGTCCGTCAACAGCCCGGTAGGTTTCGTCGGCACCCAGTGTGATTCCTTCTTGTCTTACATGCTGGGCTGGTGCGACAAGCAGCCGAAATCTATAATGGGCGGTCCCAAGACGGCCTTCAACGACGGCATCTATTACTTGATGACGAAATCGTCGTCGCCATTCGCGAAGGGGAAGTAACTCACGGGCAATTCTGCGATCTGAGGAAAACGGCTCTAGGTAGTTCGCGCTCATCTTCACGTCCGTCGCGAACGTTTGCGCCTCCTGCACTCGGACTTTCACCGCGGCAACGGGAAAGATCCGCGCCGGGCTAAACTCTCTTCTCCCGGCGATCGATTGGTCGCGTTTGGGCGCGGTACGTAATTTTCTTTTCTTTCGCAGCGGACGTCGCAAACTTCTTCCTCGTCGCACGCGGCTCTCGCTCCGGATGTTTTCGCACTGTCTGAATCCACGGAAGTAGCCCGATTGCAGCTTATTGCAGCTGACCGGATACGCGAAACGTGTCTCGCGCGAAAGACTCTTTTCTCGTTTTTCCTCGTCGCCGAGCCAATTCTCCGCGCGCGGCGCGGCGCGTAAACGCGAGCGCGCGAGACGCACTCCGCGAGAGCGTCTCGCACGATATGCAAAACGCATCATAACGCTTCGTCAAGGATGCAACGCACACGGGAGAGGAGAGCTTCGCCAAGCGCTTGCGAAGGGAGTGTTAAATACGTGTATCAATTTCCCCCGGTCGTCCGTTTCTCCCAGCGGAAGAAGAATCCCAAACACACGTCGGGGCAGATACGCGGCCTCTCGAAGCGCGAATCGCGAGTCGAGCCGGCCGCCGCGGAACCTTAGCCGCGTGCGGTGCATTAAATTTTATCGTAATATTTCCCGTGTATATCGCGCGCACAGCAACAAAGATAACAAGACGATGCGGAAAACAGTTGGACCAAAGCATGCGCTGAATTTTAGGCTCCGGGCTGTTTCGAATAAACACAGATGCAGGCGGATATTTATCATTTTGGTATAATACACGGAGATAAAGCTGGCAAAGAAGGGAGAGATGTGATTTTGCAACGAGAGCTCGCTCCGCGCTCGGGTTTCCTTCGTCGAATAATTTCAGCGTGGACGCGAACGTGACGTCGCTCGCAGGGACGACGATAATTTAGGAGCGATCCGCGAATTGCGTGCAAGCGCGACCGCCATTATATCCGAGAGGCATATAAAACAAGTGCGACCGATTTCGAATATCTCTTTGATACGCTACAAATATCTAATCTTGTGGAGTCGACGCCGCGAAGAAATGTGATAATATGTGTGTCTGCTCGTTTACGCCGATTGGCAATTGGTTTGGACTACAGAGCACTAGTGTACAAATAAAGCCATTGTATTTTTATATGTATAAAAAGTTACTTTTGTTTATACCTGCCGCTTCCCAAGCCTCCGAGAGATCAATATACGTGAGCGCAGCGGAAGGAAGAGAGAAAGAGAAATGGGGAGGAAAAAAGAGTTGCGGCAATCGAGGTAGAACATTCGATTTGAAACGATTGATCCTTCGTGCTAAATTATGACGCGATATCTCGACGCCACGAGCTCGATAAGGCGCCGAATGTTTCCATTGTGGAATAGGCCGGGTGCATCGATTATTCGCACATGGGATTGAAATATCCGCGATAAAAGTTGGCGGAGCCAACTCGCGCGCGCGCCGAGTTCCACTAATGAGCGAACAATGGGTTTGCCAGGTGCGAGCAAGCCGCCTGAGATGAATTAAGGGTCCCGCACTGGGATAGGAGCTAGACCGCTGAAAAATCCTGATGCAGGACGTCCCAGACAGGAATGCGCCTTCCTCGATCGCCAAGAGGCGATCCCTCAGCGCCGAGGTTGACACGCGCGGAGGCTGTGTTTCGAGAACGCGACGAGAGACGTGGCGATTCATCGGCGCTCGTAAAACGGCACAACATTGCTCATGAAAGAGCCGTAAAGTTCACGAGGCTGCGTCGTCTTTCGGCTGGCGAACATAAATATACGATCGTATCGCGACTGTGTGTTTTATTGACGCGCCACTGGCGCAAGATACGCCAATTATGATACGTTGTTTTCATAATTGGACAAGTTAGACCGTTATCTCTACCTCTCTGTCAAATTTGCAGACGAGTTATTGCAAGCCTCGTTATCAATTGAGACACAAGACGAGCCACAAGTCCGAAACGAAATATCACGATGCGAATAATATTTATATATAACGCGCAGTGCGAGAGAGACGGTTAGACGGAAGTACGCCCGGAAGAAAACGAGACGAATAATATCTGCTACCATTATCTGCCTTATTTCGCGTTTGTCCCTTGGCGATTGACCGACGTTGTTGAAAGGCGCGTAAAGGCGCGCTTCTCCAACGGTAATCCCTAACGCGACTCTCGGCCGCGCACCTCGGCCCGCCGAAAAGCGCGTCGTTTAACGTTGCGGAAGTAATAATTCTTCCCGAGGTTTGACGCGGCCGACGCGGAGTGTAGGTCAAGATTAAAACCTGAAACTGACGCCGAGGGAGAAATTAAAGTTGTAAAGTTTCTGGTATCTATCAACGCGCGCGAGACGGGTCCATACATAACGTGGCGCATACGTGGCGCTCGCTCGGTCGGTTTCTTCGCCGCGGAAGTGTTGTCTCGCTGGTCGCGGCTGCGGCCGCGAGCTCGCCGCGGACCATTCTTTCGCCGGTGCGAAGCAATCCCCCTGCCGTTCATTTTTCTGAAAGTATCGACACCGAACGGAAATTTATTTGCTCTTTTTACAGTTGATATTGTTCAAGGATACCGTATCGTGTATACACGTGCCGTTTCAATCGCGGATGCTTAGACAGGGACACGCGCGAATATACAAAGGGCAGCCGCGCGTATTTCTCATATCGCCCAGCGAATTAAATCCGAGAGGCGATCATTCAAACGCCTCTTTACACCGCATCATGGAGCCAAAATACAAGTAATAGGAAACATAGAGAAAACAACAAGGGGATGCTCCGACGACGGTAACGAGCGGGAGATGTCTATCGATCGAGTGTGGCGGCGTGTCCCGAAATGTCGTGAATAGTTTGTCGAAAGATAATCTTATCATAAGAATTTAACATAAATATCGCAAGATCAAGGTCAATCATCGGACTCGGAGAATCACATCGTGAAGCGTCTGCCGTGAACCTGCGAGGCATCGTGCAAATCACGCAACAACGCAATCATCGTCACAATATCGGCCGAAGAGATCTCCTCACGTCGAGGAAAAAAAAGTACCAAAAAATCACCGAAACAATAAAAGCATATTTAATAATCGTCGCGTCTCTCTCATTTCTCGCGCGGCGAGTCGTTGAATGTTCGCCGATGTGAGAAACCACGACGCCTTCTTTAACTCTTTTTCTTCTTCTTCTTCTTCTTCTTCTTCTTCTTCTTCGAGAGAGAGAGAGAGAGAGAGAGAGAGAGAGACGTGTCTTTCTCCCGAGGCGGGGAGAGAGAAAGAGGGAGTCAGTTCTTTTTTTCTCTACGAACGTATAGCCAAGCATAGGCGAGACGGTCTTTCCTCTCGCTCGATCTTAGAGCACGATTCTCCCAACAGCCGCACTATTCTCATCCAGGGTGTCAGATATCTCGAGGGCGTCCGTCCTTCTCCCCGCGTCTCTCCGCGTTAACTCGCTCGGAGAATCGTCATTATCGCCGCGCGGTTTCGGTGCTTCCGAATTATCGTATGCACGCGGTTTCCATCGAGCTTGCGCATCGCGGAGTACTTTAACGGTACATATGTGTGCGGACTACATAAAATAATTGCTAAATGAATCGTGCCGCGCTGTTTTTCCCCCGCTGTACTTATTAAGCGAACATTTTAATTAACGCGGCGATTAATCACGTAGATCACACATCCGGTCGTCACGTTTACGCAAATATATTATTTACGCGTTTCCAAAGAGTATTCGTTTCGATTCATTGCGTCCGTATGCGCCGAGGAAATGACTTGATAATTGCGTTATACGCGTAATTGCGGCAATTATGTCCGATTTTTGACGAGGAATTATACGGAGGCTTTGGAAATGTTTTCCCGACCGAGGCGTGCGGTGCGCGCGCGCGCGCGTGCATACACACACATGCGCGCGTGGAGGTGAGGGGAGGAGGAAAGACAGCAACACACGTGTGTCGAAAACCAGGTGCGCAGATGAAATTTCATAATCGCGGGGGCGTTGGGGGGCGGGGGGGGGGAGGGGGAGAGGGGCGGGAAGATACACTCGAGAAAGAAATCGTGGAGCAAGTTAATGGCAGAGCCGGCCGACGAAAACGCATAATTTTAGATCGTAAATACGTAACCCGAGCCGGGATGGTCACGCACTTACGTTTAATTGGTTCTTATGACGGTCATCTTAATTGACCGTGCGACTATTATCGTATAGGATTACCGTGTATTTATACGGTACCTTATGGTACTCGCGGCGTGACTCAATGTCGGTCGTAGCAAAGATCGCCCGTTCGCGGAATCGATTCAATTATTCGTAGTAATTAACGCGAGTATCTGCGGTGGGGGAGGGAGGGGGGGGAGGCAAGGAGAGATGTGTGCGAGCGCGTGGCGCGCGCGAGCGTCCGCGCGTGTCTTAAACAAACGATAATAATTAACGTCCGTTCCACACGAAGCTCGCGAACGATCGCGAGCACGTCCGATTCTGGACACGTTCCAAAACATGTTCCAGACGTGTTTCTAGACGCGAGTTTGGCTGTCTGATGATCGTCACGAGTCGCCGCCGGCGAGTCTTTTCGCGGCATTTCAGCCGAGGCTGCCTGAATAAAATCGTGTATGGCGATTCACGGACAACGCGCGCCGGCCGCTACGCGAGGCTTTCCAAAAGTGGTCAAGGTGGGGCTGGCTGGACAGGTCGTTAATAAAGCCTGAAGAAGGGCCATTAATCACGGGCTATCTCGGAGTCGAGCTTGCTCGTGTAAATACCCGCGGAGATATTTACCCGAACGCGCGTAAGTTGTGCGTATACGCGCGACGTCATCTATTTCCTTTCAACTTCGTCGTACACGCGCGCGCGCGCGCGCGCGTGCGAGCGGCGTACGTGCGTCTTTCGACTGCGACTGCTACTCGGTGTGGGAAGAACTCGGCGATAAAAAGGGAAAAAGCGCGCCCTGGGGGGAGGGGGGACACCCTTAGTCCAAATATTGGCTGTCCATTTATCAAGCGCCGAAGGTTCGATCCGCGCTAATTAGCTTTCCTGCCGCGTCGCTTCTCGGATTCCGCTTCAGTCTCGCGCGAGCGCGCGCGACGACTCGTGCATAACGCTCCTTTATTTATTGTTCTTTTGATCTTCGGCTCGGATGCGTTGATAAACGACCGGTTGATATCACGAGCGCGATTCGTCACCGACCACTAAATCACACGTCGGCCAGTGACGAGCGTATTGGTCCATTGACTTTAGTTTCATCGTAAGGGGAGCAGGGGCGAGAGAGGATACGTCGAACATGAATTACGCTACGAAAAGGCATAATGCGCGTCGCGTCGTCTTCCGTGTCTTCGGCGGAATTCTCACGCTGCGATTCGCTGCCGTTTGCGCGGTTTCGCAGAATGAAATCTTCAGTAATTCCACGACCGAGCAATACGACCGGGAGATTTACTTTCGCATTACAAAG